CTATTCATTTCTCCATGATCCCATGACTATTTTGTTCTCCTCCCCCCCTCCCAAACCAACCACCATCAAATCTCAGCTATGGATTTCTCCACCCCATCCCCCACCCCAGGAAACTATGCTATTTCATAAGGGACTCTAGTGCCACGACCCAGAGAACCATGCACTACAATTACCAGTAGTACATGTGTCTGGAACCGAAACTATTGGGGTGCACACCCCACCTCCACCCTGAGGACATACCTAGGGATTATGTAACCCTCCCTTCCCTGGTCCTCCTCATTATTATCATTCTTATTCCTACTAATAATAATCAATCACAAAGAACATAATTTTATCCACCTGTGCAATAATCTTCTGAACATTAATTATAAAAGAACAATACAATCTGTCCTCAGACTGGTTCTATCTGAACTCTATGTAATACAACAAGAGACCTGAGAACAACATTCAGGTTGACACAAGTGCTTTGATGTTTAGAAAGCCCTCCACAAACATTATCTCACGTTATCTTTATGCTATGTCCTTTTTACAGATGAAGAAACTGAGGCTCAGAGAGGTTTAAGTGATTTGCTCATAATAAGTATCTGAGGCAGGATTTGAACCCAGGTCTTCTTAATTCCAAGGCTTGAACTCTCTACTACAGCACACACTCTTCTCACCTCTCTGCAGGGCCTAGGCCTAATTAGCTCCAAATCCTGACAAACTTAACAAGGCCAATGATGCATTTATGAAAATGGCAACACGGTGTCAAGCCTCTGGCTCTGTCACTCTCTGCTTATGGGACTCTTGGGTCCTTCATCCGCCAAATTAGAGGGTGAGACTAGACAACTTCTAAATTAAATCTCCTTCTAGTTCTAACAATCTATGCATTCTAGGGTACCAGAATGGAAGGAACAGACTACCCAGGGAAGGCAGCAGAGTCCAAGGCATAGGTACAATAGACAGTCATTTAGCCAGGAAGCAATAAACTCATCCTCCAAACATCTCCTCCATCTACCTATCATGGATGCCTGAAATTCCACCGATATAGGACATCCATGCCTTTGGGTTAAGCATTATCTTCCACCTGACTCCTTTTAACATGAAAATATACTTCAGAAAGATAAGTCATTAACCCTGTAGTATCCATTAGTATATCAGATTTCTTTTCTCATTGAGCAGAACAAATAAGAGGTGCCATAAGGCCAAAGGATTTGAAGCTGGAAGAGGCCTCCGAGCTCAACCTCTTCATTTTTACAGATGAGGAAACTGAGACACTGAGAAAATCAATTTGCCAAAGGCCTCACGGATAGGTACTGAGCCCTATTTTGAACCCAGGTCCTGGGTCCTCTACGTGCGTGGCTCTTTCCATCACATATGTCTTGCTTCAGGCACAAAGTGAGGAGAAGGGGCTGAAAAGGAAGAGAAGGGCAGAGAAAACAGGCTCAGTGCTCTACCAAGACACAAAAATGTGGCCTCAGTTTTCCTAGTGGGGCTGAGATGTCACAATTATAGAAAATCCTGGGTTGTTCTTTTTTTAAACCACAGTTCTGTACCCATTCTTAGCTCCTCTCAAATCTCTTCTTTCCCGCTCCCACTTAAAGGGGAATCAAGAAAAGGAAGACAGAACCAAGGATGAGAAAAAGGTGAAGAATGTAATCAGAGCAAGATAAGATTCCAAACACTTCATCTATAAGCCAGCTCAATTATGTAGGCATAGCTGACGTATAAAGAATTTTAAATTCTGGGTCAGCTCTTCCCTGTCTAGCGTGCTCCCATCCTGCTACGTGCAAGGAATGAAAACCCCTTCTAATAATAGTCTTAAGGCCAGGAGTTCTTAGCCTGAATCCATGAACTTAGGTTTTTTTCTTTTTAAAAAAATTTTGATAACTATAATTCAATATAATTGGTTTCTTTTGTAATCTTATGTATTTCATGCATGTGTAAAAACATTATGTGAGGAGGGGGCCCACTGGCTTCACCAGACTTGGCACAAGTGTCCCCTCAAAAAAAGGTTAAGGGGGGAAGCTAGGTGGCACAGCAGATAGAGCTCTGCCCTTGGGAGTCAGGACGACCCGGGTTCAAATCCCATCTCAGACCAGCCACTTGACACACACTAGCTGTGTGACCCTGGGCAAGTCACTTAACCCTGAATGCCTCACCGAAAAGGAAAAAAAAAAGGTTAAAGAAAAGTGGTTAAGTAGATAACAAGAAGCAGGAAGGTGAATCTTGGGAGCGGGGGAAGTTTAGCAAAGTCAGAGAATCCATGCCAAAGACCATGGCACGTAGCAAGCATTTAACAAATGCCTTTCAATTCATTTAAATAAGAGGCATTTAGGTTATCCGCTGTTTTCCTTCATCCCTACTGCTGTCCTCCTCAACAGAGAAAGGGGAAGTCAGAGGATGTTTTAAGGCTCATATAAATCATGTCTACATGTGTTCTTAGACATGCAAAGATGGGAAAACCCTAAAACACATCCTGGTTTTTTATTCCCCTCCTGGATTCCATGTTTTGGTTCAGCTAGCTACACTGCCCACCCACAAAGGAATTCATCAATAAGTATTAACGGATTTTTGGAGACCAGCCAGAGAGTCATAAATCCTAGGTGCTTGACTTGGGCTAGGTCAGAAGAGAAAAATTCAGAACATCATGGTGGGGGGTGGGGGAGCCTTCTCTGATTTCCTGCTTTTCATCCCCACCCACCTCCTTCAAGTTTCAGGAAGAGCTAGTAACTGGCCAGTTTATTTCTCCCTAATCTCAGTGTAAGATAAACCTTTGCTTTGACCCCTATGGACAAAAAGCATGAGGGAATTTCTACCTCCCCTTTGTTCAAAGGCATCTGGTTTCAGATTCTTTCTGAAAGTAGAAGATGGTCTGAATTCCATTCTCCCCATTTCCTTATCCATTTTTCTGCTCTACCAGACAAGGGAAAAAAAAATGAGACTGAAGGAACAGGGATCCACTCTCAACAAAACCAGTGCTTTGGCCTAATAACCTCAGGAGTGTCATCTCTGAGACTCAATTTCTTCATCTGTAGAGACTTGAATATCTTTCTTCCTGTTCATTCCCTGCCCCTCGAACCCCTCCCCCCCCACACACCTTCTCCCTGCCCTCATAAGGAATCAGGAGCAACAAATCGTAAGGCTAGCTAGGGCAAAGAACAAAAGAGAATCAATGTCCTCCTGTTAAGAATCCAGAAACTGGGATAGGATAAAGAAAGAAAAGTAACCACTGCCTATAAGGAGACATGGTCTGGTGGGAGCAGGACCAAGGCATCTATTTGCTTGAAAGAAACTCGATTTCCCTTGCTGGGGGGCAGGAGACAAAGGAAAAGATGGGTGAATTCCAATGCCAATTATATGAAATCACCACCACACAAATATAATTTAACTGAATTAACATGTGAGTTGGACAAGGGCCATCTCAAGGACAATGCATCGGGCAGTCACAGAAGAAGAGAATAAAATCCAGAGAGAAGGGAGACACACCTCCTTACAAACATTACTTATCCTGTTTCACTCTACACCATAGCAGCTTGAAAATCTATGAAACCAGACACACCCACGCTGGGTTAAAGTTCCCTAGAGGAGCCAGAAAACATTGAACCATACAACTAACCCTTCACCTCCTCTCCCCAGGAAACTCTAGGAACAGCTGGGTAGTGGGGTGAGAGGGGACAAAGAAGTGGTGGGGCACACGTGAATTGGGGCAGGGAGATCTCTGGGTCCCGCGTAGCAAAGGACCAGTGCCCAACTCCTCCTCCTCCTCCCTGGCCTCCCGCAGACTTGGCGATCAAAGACGGAAGTAAAACTAAAACAGGCTTCGGGTCTCACCAGAAATAGGTTGGGGTCAGAGCATGAGGATAGAGGCATAGTCCTATGAGAGGCTCTCCTGGGAGAAAGCCCCTCTCTCAAAGAAAGACATGACTCTCTGGGTGGTTTTCATTTGAATCTTGCTCTACAGGAGAAACCTCAGGAACCTGAATAAGAAGGGGAAAGGGCTGTCCCAGTCTTTTTTGTTGTTGTTAGTCCAAAAAGTACCCTGCATCAATCTTTTAAGAGCTCAGGTGCATCTCTGATGCTACAGGACACAAAGAGAAACCAGAAACTGAGAGATAATCAGATACAGAGTAAATAAAAAGCAGGACCTCCCTGGATTCACAATCCTGTCACATAAATTCGTTTTCACCATGCATCACACCATCAAATTTTAACATGGCACTTCTAGGTAGACCTAAGTGATTTGCCTCACAATGAATCTGCGAGGTGGGGAAAGCAAATACTATTATAATCCCCATTTTACAGATGAGAAAAACTGAAGGAACAGAGGAGCTCATCAGTTTTTCCAGGTTCACACAGCAATTAAGATCTTAATTAGGACTCCCAATCCACTTGACTCTTTCCCCCCCCCTATTATCTTCTGGCTCCTCACCGGCATCAAAGAATCTCCAACTTCCTTCGAGGATCATCAGCTAAGGTTGCCACCCTCTCTATAAAGCCTTTCCTGATTTCCCCTCAATGGTTATTTCTGTCTCTCTTCTCAAACTACCTGGTATTATAAGTTCCTTATGTACTCAAGTGCCGCTCTCCAGCAGAACGTAAGTTCTGGGAGGGCAGAGGCTTTACTTCCCTTTATTCCCACGTACAATTAGCTGAAGCACCTAGCATATGGCCAAGGGCTCCATGAAGACAGGTTGAATCCAAGTATATCCTCCCTACCTCTCGCAAGGTTCAGTCGACGAGGGATGGCTAAAGTCGTCACCGCCACCGGCAGTGTCCCGAGGAGTCAAGGACGGGCTGTCGCCCTCCAAGCGCAGGGGGCCCGATACTCCCGAACCAGGTCCGAGAGCGGTACCCGGCGGGAGGATGAGGGGTGGAAGGAGAAGGGGCACAGGAGTGGGAGGAAACGCCTAAGACAACCGTGCGAAACTGGGGATAGGGCGGGGAAAGGGAGCAGGGCAGGGAAAGAAGCGATGGGGGACGGGACCGAGCCCTGGCCGGCCGCTGCCCCTTTTTCTTACCTCGCTCTCCCCTTCGGAGTGCAAGTCCACCAGAGCACACCAAGAGCGCGTCCCGTTCATTGTCTTCTGGCCCCGGACCGCGCCGGAGCGGCTCCGAAAAGGCCAGCACCTACCTCCGCGGAGGTCCAGATCCGAGTAAGAAGGCGGGAGGTTGAGAACGCCCCCCTATATGTAGGCGCATCGGGCTACGGGCAGCCGGGGAAGCCACGCCTCCTCTCCGTCTAAGCTCAGCCAACTGGAAGAGGGCAAAGAAGGGGGGGCGGGGAAGCAGCTAGGGGCGTGCCAGGGCAATTGGAGCCTGGCCACGCCCTCTGGCGGCAGTTTCTATTTGCATAAAGGGCGGGGTTATGGCGCCACACAGGAGGGACTTCCCAGGTCTCCAATGTTAATTTCAGTCGTGTTACTTTACCAGCCCGGGAGCATAGGAAGAGTTGTAGAGCAACAGAGCGCTGAGATAAATGTGGTCCAGCCCCGCCTTATTGAACGGCTAAGAAAACTGAGACCCAGAGAGGGGGAGTGGCCTATCCAAAGTCAGACAGATAGTAAATAAAGTAGATTCTAGGTCATCTGACTTTCAAGTCAACTTCTTTTTCCTCTCCATCTGGACTTCCTCACCGACTCCTTCCCCGGCCCCAAGCAAAGAATCAGTTCCCAGCTGTTCTGGATGGATGGAACTAAAGGGTACTAGGTGGGGGAGGTGTTAGAACTCCAGAGAGGAATCCAGTCAAGCAGTGGAAAGGGAAGGTGTTGCAGACTCTCGACTTGGAGACTCTGCTACTTGGACAAGCCTCAGTTTCCTCATCTGCAAAAGGCTGGGGGGAAAAAAAGGACCTTTCTAGCTCTAAACCCTATAATATTGTGAGTCTGAGAGCTTTGTGGGGCTGGATGGCCCCTTTCCCTTCTCTCTGTAGTTTATCATGTCAGCAAGTCCACCTCACTAAAGCTGGGTTTAGGCCTGCTTGTCAGGTGCCCTGATTTGGCAAGAACCTGCCCGTGAATGCCAGCTGGTTTTGTTTTTGCCCAGGCGGGGCTTATTAGACTCAACTGCAGCTGCTCTCCTCTATGGGCGATACAGGTGGGCTGAACTGCCAAAGAGCATCTGTACTCCCAGGAACTGGATGGGCTTGCCCTCCCTCATTAGTCTTGTAACTTGATCCCAGGGAGCCATCTTGTATGCTTCACAAAATTGTAGAATTTCCCCATTGGAAAGAATCTCACAGGTTATCTAGTCCAAACTGGAGCAGACTAAGAATTCCCCCAACAAAAAGTCAATGCTCCACTTGAAGGGTTTCAGTGATGAGCATCACCAGATATTTCAGTGCCAGCTTATTCCACTTTGGGAGAACGCCAACTTGTAGTTTTTCATTTTCCTTATCGGCCTCTGCTGGATTCTGCCCTTTGGAGTCAACTAGAATAAATCTAGCCTCCCTTTTATGTGACGTTCCTTTCAGTATTTGAAGATAAGCAATATCATTCAAAGGCAGCTTGGTGGCATAGAGGACAGTGCTAGATTTGGAGTCAAGAAAACTCGAGTTTGAATCCAGCCTCAGATAACTAAGCTGTGTGACTGTAGGCAAATCATTTAATCTCTCTCAGTCTGTTTTCTCATCTGTAAAAATGAGGAAAATAGCACCTACCTCACAGGGTTGTTGAGGATCAAATGAGATAATATATGTAAAACACTCTGCAGACCGTAAAGCACTAAATAAGTGTTAGCTGTTATTGTTAGCTCTTGTCAGGCTCCTCCCTAAGTCTTGTTTTCTAGGCAAGACAGCCCCAGTTCCTTCAAATGATCTTTGTATTCATGGCTCTCACCCAGTTGGTTGCATGCTTCTGGATGGACTCTAGTTCACCAATGTCCTTTTATGAAGTTTCTTACTATGCAGACAAGTAATAGCAAAGGACTGTAGGCAAGCGTATCACAATTTTCATGTTGATAGCAATTTTCCAACAACAGCTCAAGAAGTATGAACAGGCAAGAAGAAATTGCAAAGACAGGTGAGCAAAACCCTCTTTCTTCTACTTAAACATCTCAAAGGAAGAGAAGACAAGAGAGTGAAGCTTTGGCATGAGACCCAGAGGTTCTAGTGCCTAGCTCAGGCACTCTACTATTCTAGGCAGGTGACTATCACACTGGGTCACAGGGAAGTTAGGGCTCCTCCTCAGAATGAGCCATGAGAGTGGCATTGGAAGGATTGCAGGTGGCCTCAGGCACATGTTTGGCAAGTTTGCTGCTGTCACACCCCTGTGCTGCTAAAACTCAAATCCACCAGGTACCCTGGAAGGTAGCTCGGAGATGAACGGGCACTAGATAGCCCCATGCCTGGAGATAGGCTTTGGGGTGGCTTCCCCTTTCAAAGCAGACACTTGAACAGGATTGGCAGAAACTCTGCCCCCGCCCCCACCCCCACCCCCCACCACTCCAGGCTACCCCAGGCAGGGATTGGGCCCTATGCCAAGTAAAAATGGGTGGGGACCCTTGTACCTGAGAGATGGATGTTGGGGAGTTCCCTTTCTCCTTGTCCTGATAGCCTCAGGGAATAAGAGAACTGGTTCTATATCTGCCCAATCATTCCTCCCACCCCTTCAAAGCCCCTCAGCCCCTATCAGACTCCACAACCTCCATGCCGTTTGCACTTCCCTCGAATTTAGTGGAGAATGGGATAGGTTGTACTGCCAGGACTCCTGGGTTTCTCTCAGGTCCCAGCTTGTGCTGCTCAACCCCCTCCCCTCCCCTGCCCCATCATGTAGTGCTGTGAACTCCAGCGGTTAAAAGGGTCTTACTTCATAGGAAAGCAACCACACAGGGAAGATGAGGGGGTAACAAGGTTCACAATATAAAGATATGTATTTAATTTAAAATAAAATCGAGGAAGAAAAAATTGGAGGGGAAGAGAGATATCTGATTTGCCCAAGGAACAGAGGTACAAAAATCACAAAGTTACAAGTCATTGGTGAGTGTAGTCATGCTTCCCTCCCCCAGGCTCCTGGAGATGATTCATGGGGGCTGGGTCTGTCCTAAAAAGCCAAAGGCAGGATGGAGGTCTTCATTTCCTCCTCCCATTCCATTCCAAGGCAGAATTCCCAGCCTGAGGCAGAGGAGCTAGCATTAAGGACCAGGCTCCTGAGAAAATGAGGGATCCTTGGATTCCCTGTTGAAGCCAGGAATAGATCTGTGGGAAGGCTGCAGTAGAACCATTAGACCTGAAGAGGCCCTTTGATCTGTGAATCTTTAAATGTATTTAGATAGCTGGCAGAGCTCCCTGGTCTCAACCAAATCATAACCACGTAGCCGCCAAGGGAAGCCTATGAACATAAGAAGTCCTTCCCACAGCACCATGTTACCCTAGCACAGGCCCTTTTCAGCTCTCCTTTCACCAGGAACCAAAGACAACTTGCGTTGTTTTACTTTCTTAACCAGCTACCTGGGGAGTAAGGATGAGCATGAGGACCAAGAGGGAAATCTGATGGCTATATGAGGAGGTTGTGTGTGGGGAACCACCTCGTTTCCTCCCCTAGCTAAGGCACCGAGAAAAAGGTAAGAAGGTTGACTCTTGGGAAAAGGAGAAATGGTCCCTTGGAGCTGCTGGCTCAAAGCAGGTAAAGGACAAATGGAGGGTCTAGAGGTATGGGGGTACCCCAGGGGCCCCGAGGATTGTGCAAAGAAAAGCAGGCAGGACCACGCCAGCGCGTCCACAGCCCATGGTGTCTCCCTTCTCCCAAGCCTCCTTACCCAGTCAGGAAAAGGATGGGTAAAGGGATCACATGGGGAATGTCCCTGAGCCTTAGGATAAAGAGGCTAAAAAAATACAAGCTCTAGAGGTTTAAATCTCTTAATACTTCTCCTCTGCCACCTACCTACTCCCATCAAACTCTGTTCACATGGAGAGGAGGGGAGGGAAAGTCCATTCCACAGCCCTGCTCTGGCCCACGCTCAGGAATTCCCCTTAGCACCATTCGGACCCAACCTCTAACAGGGTCATTTGGTGGACTAGAGGAAAGGGAGCCGAGGGCTAGAGGAGGGAAGGACCTTCTGCAACTTGGCCGCTAGACTCCTTGCTGACTGCTGGCTAGCAAGAACTGGTCTGGAGGTTGCTCTCAGTGAGCAGTGATGCAATGGATGAGGGGTCATAGATATTGTCAAATTCCTCATCTGAGCTCAGGCCATCATGCTTGAGGGATGCCTCGGCTGCTGATCGAGTAGCCTTACGCCTAAAAAGAGAAAGAGGGAGAGAGAGAGAGAGAGAGCACACCATTAGTCAGGAGAAATGATGAATATTTGATTGCAGTCAAAACCCAATTCTTTTGCCTAAGCTGGCCCAGCCAACAACTAGAATGTAATCTCCTTGGGGAAAAAAGACCATTTTCCCTAATTTTTTTCTTTCTATATCCCTAGTACCTAGCAAAGTATTTTGTACATTTGGCACTTAATAAATGCTTGTTGAATCGAAAAGACCTTGCTTTTAAAATCTTCTCTCACCTCAGGTAAGATCATTATAATAACAGCTAACATATATAGCACTTCAAGGTTTGCCAGGCACTTTACAAATATTATCTCATATGATTCTTACAACAATCCTAGGAGGTGAGTGCTATTATTATCCCCATTTTATAGTTGTGACAATTAAGGCAGACAGAGGCTAAGTGACTTGCTTAGGGACACACAGCTAATAAGTGTCTGAGGCAGGGGCTGACCTCAGCTTCCCTGAGCCCAGGTCCAGACGCTCTATCCACTTGTGCCGCCTAGATGCTAGAGATGATTCTATTACTGAGATCCAAACCAGGGAGCCAGAGGCACTGTGGACCTATCATGCGTACAGTCAACCAAGGCCTAAGTTCTCCAACAGGGCGCCTACGGGTGCTCTTCCTTACAAGGCCAGCAAGAACCCAGGTGTTGACTGCAGCCTCACCTTCTCCTCCATCATCTCTCTCTCCCACCTCTCACTCCCCTGTGGAACCTACCGGGAATCCTTTTCCAGGGCCTTCACCCGGGCCTGAAGCTGCTCGTTGACCTCATGCTGCTCTTCCAGCTCACGCTGGGCCTTCTTCCTCAAACCATCCAGCCGTTCAATTTCTTCTTCTGCCTCATCCACCTGTCGCTTCAGGGCCTTCACCCGCAGGCTCAGCTAGGGAG